TGTGTGTGTGTGTGTGTGTGTGTGTGTGTGTACCAGAGGCTGATATCGGGTGTCTTTGTGGGTCACTCTCCACCTTATCTTTTGAGACAGTGGCTCTCATTGAACATGGATTGGCTAGACTGGCTGGCCAGTGAGCCCCCAGGGTTTGCCTGTCTCTGCCTCCCCTGTGTTAAGTTACGAATACTCACGACACACTTGTTTTTTGTTTGTTTTTCTACATGGGTGCTACAGATTCAAACTCATGCTTGCGCACAGATACTTTACTGATAGAGCCACCAGCTTTGTGTTCCTGTTCATATGTTCCCCCAATGATGTGAAGGATCTAGAAGGCAGGCGTTAGCTTTTCTTCTGTGTCTGCCCAGCTTCTTGCTGGTGTTACCAGAAGTATGATGAAGGTACCAAGGACAGCTACAGAAACCTTCTAGAGGGGCAGCCGTCTCTGCCCTTATGTGGTCTCCAAGTCTTGCCAGGAAAGGGCAGCGGGAGAGCTTCCTTGCACTCCAGATGTCTTCTTGGGTGATGACCTCCTCCACTTGCAGGAGATTTGGGAACACAGGCCTTTCAAAAGGCGCAGAGCTCCTCAGCTCTTCTCTAGCCATGTTCTTCAAGTCTCAGTGAGAAAGGGGCTTTTCTCCCTGGTCCCTAAAAGACTCCCACTGTCCTACTTCTCCACACTGCCCTTCTGGATGCCCCTGGTAAAGGGTGGGGTCCTCATCCCCGCCTGTCACCACCTCAGCACCCTAAGTGTGAGAGGTGCTGGTGGCCTCTCCTGAACTCATAACTTTGCACCTGGGGAAGCTTTCATGCCACCTACACCAGAAAAAGTTCTTTTTCCATTAAGAAATCATGACACTAATGCACCTGCCCATTTGTTTGAAATAATTTCCAGACGTCTTAGCAAAAACATTCAAATACCCATTGGTAATTTCAAGGCAAACCCCCTTGAATTTGTGAGAAGCAATCTGAAGATCTTGTTTGCCACAGAAAAGCACAGTTTAAGAGATGTCAATAACTGTAGGAGAAAATATGAAAGGGCCACAGAAAGACCCACACAGCATGACTTCCTTCATTTGAGAGCAATTTCTCTTCTGACCTGCTGATCTCTCACAGTGATCATCTCCAGCTTGTGCAAATGGGCTTTACTGCCACTAGATGGCGATCTCAGCCACTGCTGTGGGGCTCAGTGCTAATGCTCTACAGTGGAGGCAGTCACAGGGCTCAGGACCAAGAGGCTATGCAGGTCAGCTGAAAATTCACATGAGTTTAGCATCTTCAGAGACCAGTTTGCGGATACGCTGGAAATAATGAGGAACCCACAATATGAATGGAAAATTAGAAGGTTTAAAACAACGCAGGAAATAGCGTTCTTTGGTGGCTGTGAAGGTTTCCAGAAGAAATTGAGGGTCTGGGCTTGGGGGAGCACAGGGCACTCTGTGGTGAAAGTAAATGAGTTCCCCTTCCAAAAGTTTCCTGGCTACCACATGCCTTAGCACTAGGGAGATATATGGCTTAGAGAGCTAGTCTCTTACTTTCCAAGGACCCAGTTTCAGCTGAATGGCAGCAACTAGCAGAGCAGAAATAAATACATATAATAGAAAGAAATGATAAAGGGTAAAGAATAGGAAAAAGAGACAGAGTATGAAGGCAAATAAAGCAAAGGGATAACCACCAGAGTCAGGCCCTACCATGCTGTGTCTACTTGGGGAACAGAGGACTGGGTGCTCACTGTAGCAGCGGGCTCTGCTCTTTAAGACATGTGAACCACTGAACCCTGAACAACCAATGGGGGAGCTATACTAATCAAGCAGGAAAGTGTCACTCCACCTTGCCCTTGTCAGGATGGGATCTGCCCTTGACCATAGACACTAGAAAATAAATTTGTATGCACTTATTTGGTATGCCAAGTACCTTGACTTCAAAAGGACATAGACAATCAGCATATTACATATACTATATATATATGTATCTCCCTCCCTCTCTCTCTCTATATATGTATGTATGTATGTATATATATTAATATGCACTTCCCTTCCTGCTAATATTCAAACCATGGGAACAGACATGCAGGCATAAGTTAGTCAGCTATCCACACTGGTTATTCCCCATATGACACAATTCCCATGACTGGAACTCATTATATAATCATTATTTTATACAAATATTACATAGCTTCTGACCTGGTGAGTTTGAACCTGCTACTGAAAGTCTGACAGTTACTACGTGTATGTAAACAAAAGTACAAAATTCACTTAGGAACAAAGCATCCATAATTAAAAAAAGACAAGCAATACACCCCACCTGTAAATGCTGATTAAGATAAATACGTGTTTTCTCTTTCATAGTAAAAAGCTAAAGGTAGCTTAGAAGGTGTTCCCAGGTTCATCTGCTACAAAATAGAACATCAAGTCAGACTTGGAATGTCAGATGAGGGTGGGTACAGTGGACTCTCCAGGTCCCAGTTCCATATCCCAGGATTCAACTAATCCAGATGCTCATGAAAACCTCTGAATTTGTACTGATCACATACAGACTTTTTTTTTTCTTATCCTTGCTCCCTAAACAATACAGTGTTGCTACTATTTCCATAGCATTTACACATTAGGTATTCTAAATCATCCAGACACTGTTCAAAGTGTATGAGAGGATACGTGAGTGTTATATACTGATACTATGCAATTTATGCAAGGGGCTTATCGATTTCAACATGGGGGAGGGATCCTGGAACTGATCCCCCGTGGATAGCAAGGAATTACTATATATAATATTTATTAAGTATTATGCAATACAAAATAGCACTGGTGTTTTTCACAAAAGCTGCTCATTTTATTCTATTCACTGATGACAGCTGCTAATCTATGCTGGATATTTGAATTATAAAAACGTAGGCAGGCCTTGCCTTTTCACCCGTACTTTTTGTGCCCGTTGGTGTTTGTCAGATGGGTCTTCACTTAGCTAGTCTTTCACACACCTTATCCTAACCCTTTCTGTCAGCACCAGAGAAATCTGGGAGAAAAGAAGTGGAAGTGGGACAACGAGGAGAGTGCGGTAGAGTTCGAGCAGCCCACAGAGGCCTTCCTCAGGATGCTTGCTTGTGCTCCTTAAGGCTAGGAATCTTGATCAACATGTTAAGTAACAAAAGTCACTCTCCAGAGTGTACATGTCAGAGGGTTTTCCCCCTCCTCATCCCACTACTCCCACACTTGAAAAATATTTCGACATTTAAAAACCTAAACAATTATTGAGAAACAGGGATTAGGAGGCAGGAGGCCAAGAGTAAAAAAAGAAAAGAAACTGGATTCTGGCTGCACATTTGGACTTATTTCTAGGCCACGTGAGACACCACGTGGATTCGTGCAGGTTGTCATGGGGCGGGCACTGAGGATGTGGTTCTGAAGGGCTACAGCTTATTTCCAGACAAGCATCCCACTACGGCAGCCAGTAAAACCTGGGCACCCAAGTCTGATGCAGGTGTATTGTTGTCTAGATGATACACTCTTGCTCTGAACATTCCTGCTGACCTGCTCATAGAACTGGACATTTTTTCAGAATAAATAACTCCCACCTTAGGAAGATCAGAAAATTGTTCAGAATTATTTCCCTTTGCTTCAGAAGAGGGTTTGAACTGACAGACCAAAAGCAGGGAACATTTTGTGACCCATTAAGATATCAAAAGGAGCAGTTGTCTTCTCTTTTCCTCAAGAAATTAAAAGCAGTAAACATTTAAATTGTTGTAATAAAACCCAGAATAGGAAGCCTCTGTAGCTCTAACGGTCTAGATAATCTTTCTTACCAGAGTGCAGTCGTGTATAGATACTGTTATCAGACTTGGTCAATGATGTACTGCATTCCTGATTTATGTCAACATTCCTTAGTTATTTGACATCTGTCACCAACACTTTCACATTCCTGACACAGAGGAACCGATACTGGGATTCCTTATTGGTCTACAGAAAGTTCTTTGGTGTTGTTTCTGAATCCACTAACAGCAGAAGCAGCTGAGATTTTCAAACCAGGAAATGTTACCAGCTAAGACATAACTACAGGTTTAAGTCGCCCTGTTCCAAGAAGGGCACAAACCTCTCAGCCAGAGCCCTGCTCGGTGAGCCCCTCACAGACATCAGCTCCTCCTCTAGCCGCTGCCGCTCGGCTTCCAAGTGTTCCAACTCATCTTGTGTGCGTTTTTGTGGAGTGACAAACTGCAACTCTTTCAAAAGTTCTTCTTTTTCATTAATTAGCATCAATTTCTCCTTCTCGATGTCAAGTGCCCCAGGCCAGGCCTCACTGTCCAACTTCGACAGCTCAATTTTCAAATTAGCCATGCTAAAAGACATAGAAAATGTAAGCATGTATTTAAATTCCTTAGAAAGTTGAGTGCAAGCAAAGGATAAGTCTGGGTGGGACTGGGTGCTATCTCCCAGAGAGCAAGCAGCAACCCCATGTTTCAAGTCAAGTACACAGAAGTGTCTAAAGCAGAATGCTATGGGCAGGCATTGCTAATGAGCATGGGGTGATAGGAGGGGCACCTGGAAGGTACCTCGTAACAAAACAAGGCGCTCCCAAATGCCATTATTGTAGATTAGATTCCTCTGGGTAAAGATGCCATTCTCCAGCTAAATGGTAATTCCCAGGGCAGGCTGGATAGAAACTGGGATATTAGCAAACCAGAGAAGGAAGAAGAGCTGAGGCTTCGTCACTCATATTAAGGTATCACATCACCAAGGACAATGGGCAGAGCCTGGCCTCCTCCCACCCACACTCTCCTTAAGGCTCACAGTGGGAGTCTCCTTTCCATCAGGGCCTTGAGTGATACACACCATTTATTGAGGAACTCTGTACTAAGACCTGCTATGCTATTGTTTCTGACATATACTCCTCTGTATCTGGTTATTGGGCCATACAGGAGCAGGCACAGTGGACCTTAACCAGCACAGGCAGCTGGTATGGCATTACACAGTGATAATAGGTGCTGGTTCAAGGAAAAAAAGTGTGGGGTAAGAAAGAGGAAAAAGCACCAAATGCAAAGCTTCTACTTTCATGATTTTGCCTGACCTTGGATTTTCTATGGCTAGAGGTCCGTGATAGATGGACATGTTAGCACAACTCCCAGGTCAGCACAGATGTCCTGAACCTCCCGAATGAAAGGACTCGCTCTGTGGTGCTGTGGAGATAATCAGGACTCTCCACAAGGCAAACAGCAGATGGCTCTTTAGCCCATAAAGCAGAAGATGCAGGTAAACTATGTATGCAACTGATAATGACATAAGAAATCTACATTTCTATAAAAAGCAATGGACGATTACTTGGGTCATTGTTACAGTACACATTGAAATATGGAAAAACAGATAGAAAAATGGGAAATGAAAACGCAATCTAGAACAATGATGCAAAGTAGGTCTATATCCCTGTGCTACAAGTTTCTTACTTTGGTTAAAAACAAAACTGCTGCCTTAGATTGTACTACATACGCAGGCACTTCTGATTTCCACCCCACTGTCTGCACTCACGATAGATGTAACATCAGCTATTCTTCAGCTCTAACCACAAACCCATAAACAACTGTCTCAACGTACTGGAAAATTAATCATCAAATTGCTAAGTAAGCATGATATTATTGGCTTCATTAAGCACATAAAACAAAAGTCGGAAGAGAAAACAGGTTTCAGAGAAACATAACCCACCTCTACTTGCTCAGAATTGAGGAGGAAAATGCATTTTCAACATATGCTAAAACCCTAGAGAGTTACCTTCTTGTCAGCATCGCTAATAACTTCAGAGCAAAATACTAATAGCACAGCAATGCAGTCAAATGGCAAAGAAGCAAAATGGCCTGAGTCTTGAGACTGAAGTGGCCAACTGATATAAGAGCAACAGCAGAATACAGGAAAGAAAGTGCCTGTGTATTATTGAGTGCACAAGATTAGGTAGGCACTGGATTTTATTTTAGAAAGGGAGCACAGATCAGTGGGGAGACTGTTGAGGAAACTGCATGAGCACCCAGGAAGAGAAGTGTTACATAAGTTCAGGATGTAACCAACTATAGGTAGTCACAGTAGAGCAAAAGTTCAAGATGACAGGAAGGAAGGTCGTCAGGTCCGTAAGAAAATGGGTTTCAGGTCTGGAACTCCTCAATTCTGAGTTATACCCATTCGCCTTCAGAGAACTGGACATAAATCTTGGGCTTTGTCTGTGGCCGGCCAAGAAGTTCTGGCTGTTGAAGGGTTGGCCTGCTTACAGCGAGACGACCACATGTACCACCCTGGAGCAGCTTACATATCACTGGGCCTCCACACCAAAGATCAGCCCTCAATACTTACTGAAAACAAGGTCCTAGTCCAGGCCCTGGGAAGGAGATAATAAAATATAAAAATTTTCCTACCTTCAAGACATTTAAAATCTAGGGCGGAAAATTTAGAGATATTAAAATTAGCTGAGCTAAGTGTTGATCATAATGTTCAAGGTTATGTGGTTAATCATTTGTGGAATGAAGCTTAGGTTTCTTTTCAGTAAATTGAAGAACCAAGTAATATTTGAAACACTGACTAACATAGAGGCAAATATTAATATTCATTTCACTTTGTTAAAGCCTGAAAACCTCTGAGAAAAATAATGAAGCCTATCAGAATGACCTTCTCCCTGGACACAGTAGAGTGATTATCCTATGGAAACAATTTGAGTATCTACCTGCTAGATAAAGACCATGCAGTCTCTTGTACATCACCCCAACAGAGTCAAGAAAGTAAAAACTGTAGGGCTTAGTTCATGAGGTAAAGAAGGGAAAAAAATACTTCATCCTCTTCCTGACCTGAGTCAACTGGAACAGGCACCTTTGTACCTTCAAGGACAACAGTAGTAAGACTTCCCTTCAAGGCAAAGGAGCCGCTCAGTTATTCACCCTGTAATTTCTTAACTATCTAGACCTGGGCCTGGGCCTGGGCTACTGTATTATGTTGACCAGAGAAACCAATCATCTCACTTTAAGTATTATATAAGCTCAATACTGCTTTCCCAGAAGAGAAGGGGAAAATCGGGGGCTGGAGAGATGGTTCAGTGGTTAAGGGTACTGGCTACTCTTGTAGAGGTCCCGGGTTCAGCTCTCAGCACCCACATGGTAGCTAAGAACTATCAGTAACTCCAATTCCAGGGGCTCTGATGCCCTCTTCTGGCCTCCACGGGCAATGCAGGCACGGGTGCACTTACATGCAGGCAAAAGACACAAAAAATAAAAATAATGAATAAATAAATAAGTTTTTAAAAGAAGGGGAAATTTTTATTCCATAGCTCTCATTAAATTCTTGTTATCCTTCGTCTTTGTGGGGTGGAGTTAGTGAGGAGAGAGGGAAGCAACCCTTCTGGGATGAAACACCACACGGAAGGTAGCATTGGTGAGGGTAGGAGGGGATGTCAACACAGTGCAGAAGATTAATTCTAGAAAAGCAAACACTGTTGGAGCCCCCAGCCACGAGCAAAGGCTCCCCTGCCCTCACCTTCTTTTGGCTTCTTCATAATGGAGGCTCAGCCTGACCTTTTCAGCTAAATTTGATCTGCTTCGCATCCCAATCTAGTAAAAAACAGAAGGAAAAAAAGTCAATTAAATCTGTTAATGAGTGAAGTAAACTGCTTTGGTTTCTAGGAAGTGCAAGTAATTGAAAAGCTCAAGAAAATGATTCTGAAATGGGAAAGCACCAGCTAAGCCGGCACTTACCCCACAGTCACAGTAGGGCACACGTTTCTTTCAACTCAGACTTGGCTGTTTTGCAAAGACTTTAGCACCACTTTCCCCACAAATTAAATTCAAGACAAAAATATCAGGTAAATGTGTCTGGTATCTAAGAGTTTATGAAGGGTGTATAGGTCAATAAAATTTATGAACTGGAACTGATTTCCTTGCCTTTATGAGCCAAAATTTCCATCGTTTAACTTACAACTAAACAAAATAAAACCAAATAACCTCAGAAATTAATTTTCAAACAGTAAACCCTACTGTCAATATCCACCCGTTTTATTTTCATGACACATGCATCCAAGAAGTCTAAGAATACAGAAATAATCAGGAACGTTCTAAAAAGTAAATACACGCAATACCATTCCAAAAGGAAGAATGGAAATAATAATATCTAAACCACATTAAATATCAGCTATAAGTCACCAAAACTTTAATCAACCTCAAATTTATAGAAATAAAATTTTCTTGTTAGTTTTTAAAAGTACATATTTCTTCTTCCCATTAGCCTTAATGATGATTTGAAATGATCCCAATTTACAAAGCTCTAAATTTAATGAGGAAAAGTTAAATATTCATATATTTCTAGCTTTTCATATATCTGTAAAGAGATATGGCCTGAGAAATTTTGAACAAAGCCATTTATATGAACAAATCTTTCTATGATTGGCACTTTGACAGAAAAGATGAGGCTGCAACTTTTGAAGGTAATCTGAGGAGGTACCGAACGCACACTTTAGTTCCTGTTCCTGCTGACCCTCCACAGTTGTCAAGGCCCACCAACAACAGCAATGGGTTGACCAAAGACCCAGATGACTTACATCTCCAGAAATACTTGTCTGTGACCCAGCATCAAGGGTCTGTCTGGAGAGTGAGAGATGAGAATTCACAGGACTGGATCTCAAATCTGGCTCGGAGCTGCCAATGTTCTGATCCAAATGAAACCGCTCCTGTAGTTTAGCAAGACTCTGTGAAGACACACACAGTATTTCATAAAGCTTAACATGTAAAAGGGTGACTCATTCCTGTCAGGAAATGTTAAACACAAAGGCAAAGAGCTATCTCAATGAAAACAAACAATTACTTTATTTGTACTGTTCAGAAAATAAGAGCAGAATTTAATTTTGTGTATGTGCATATAACTTTGGAAGTACTTGAGATCATATTAAGCTGCCTTACTTTTTCCAAGTTGGCACTCTCCTGTGAATATCTATCGATTTATTTATTTATTTATTTATTTATTTATTTATTTATTTATGTGTATGTGTGTATGCAAGATATGTGCAATGCCTACAAAGGACAGAAGAAGGTACTGAATCTCCTGGAGCTGGAGTTAAACAGGTGGTTGAAAGCCATCATATGTAGGTACTGGGAGCCAGGTCCTCTGGAAGAGCAGTAAGCACTCCTAACCTCTGAGTCATCTCTCCAGTCCTTATCCTTGTATCTAACACATGCAATTTGGAAAACACCATTATTTTTACAATGGTTTGCTTGTGTTCATGTAATACAAGACTTTCAGTGTGACAATGTTCAGAGATTGCAGAACCTTTACGAGGTGGGGTCAGTACAAGCTACATAGGTAAGTGTAGGTATCACCCTTAGCAGAGATTAATGTAGTTCTGGAAAGTCGTGGTTAGCTACCAAGAAAATGGGTTGTTATAAAAAGTGCAGGTTTCATTTCTGACTTGCTGTGGTTTTCTGTTCTGTTGTGTACTCTCTTTCAGGTTCAATCATGCCATTGTGACAATATCCACAACAGGACCTTATTAGAGGCTGAAAAATGGGACTACACAAGATTAGACTTTCAGCCTCCTGAACTGTAAGCTAAAGAAGCGTCTTTTGCCTTAAAGTAGGCAGCTTCAGGTATTTTGTTATAGCAAGAGAGAACAGCCCACTATAGAACTGTTCAGCTTATATATTAGAAATTATAGAACCATGCAATATTTATAATGTCATCTTTCATTTTAGATGCAGTAAGACATCTTCCTACTTAGAAACACCTGTAATTAGAGAACTTTTTATCTATGCAGGACACAAGGGGTTATTCATTTGACATTAATGCTATAGATCAGGAAACTGAAGCCTAGAAGTTGTTAAAGGGTGGCCTAGGCCTCAGTTGAGCCCATCTATATGTTGACCGCATGGCATTGCCTACAGTAGGAATGGCTGGTTTGCTAAAGTGAGTTATCAAAAGTGAGTGTTCATTTGCCCTTCCAGCGCTATTGTTGACCTCAGAATCTACTAATTAATTATTCTATGTACTTCAGTAACTGAAAGAAATTTAATCTGATCTATACATAAGAGAAAAATTCACAGAAGAATCAAAGGTGATCTTAACCAAATACAAGGCTCTTGTGTAAACTTGCTCCAAGTTTCAGAACCATCGTGTGCCTTTCAGAAATTACTAATTTAACCAGCACGACAATTGTGGAACAGAAATGGAGTATGTATTAGTAAAGTCTTGCATGTGTTAGACATAAGTTAAAACTTGCATAGCAAGACTACCTGGGCCTGAACCCCTGTCCTACTTAACAGCCCCACAGTTTCAAGTAAAAGATTTGCTTTTTCATTGACTCAGTCAGGACTAAGCGAGGAAGTCAGAAGAGTGTCCGCCAGAAGTCACACTTACACATTTCCTGTTACCACATTATTGTCTTTTCCATCAGATAGACAAGTGATTTCAAAATTTCCCAAAATACAGATTTAGATGGATAAAAAAAGTATTTATCTATAGTTCAACTAATGTTTGGGAAATCACTCAGAAGTTGAATATCTTATTTAAATGGAGAGATTTTATTAAAGGTTCAAGTATCATTGTCAGCTCTAACATTTTGCTAAGATACAAACTGAATTCTTACTCAATTTGGTGAAGAGCTCCAAAATTCTTCATGTTTGTGATAATTATGGGGTAGAGAGAAGGGAAAATGTAAAAGAGAGATACCCTGAAAAACAAAAATGTGCTGGGCATGGTGGCACATGGCTTTAATCCTAGCACTTGGGAGGCAGAGGCAGGTGGATCTCTGTAAGATCGAGGCCAGCCTGGTTTACATAGTAAGTTCCAGGTCTGCTGGAGCTACAGGGAGACTCTTGTCTCAAAAACAGACAAACAAAAATACAAATCCATAAAATCAAAACAAACATGTGACTCTGACAAGTACAGATACTCAGAATATTGATCACTCAACAGCTCTTCTTCCATATGAAGCTGGTCCTGAAACAGCAATAACAAAAGGTTCTGCTGCCACTAGCAATTTCCTGAATAACTGTGGCTGTGCCCTAGCTGGGTCAGCACCCCTCACCCCAGCAGGCATGCCCATTACCTAATGATGAGGGCACACTCTGATGTGCTCTGGGCTGTGGGTCACTGGTATGGAGAACCCTGATAATCTGAGTCCCACCTGAAGTTTCCAGTGAGTTTTGGGTGTGCCAATATGCTAATTTCTTCATATGGGTTCCAGGTTCCACCTCCTACAGTCTCAAAGGACATCTAAGTCCTGCTTTCATAAAGGGCACCAGAATTGGAAACCAACCTTTTCTCCATCAGAGTCTGGGACACTCCTATGGAGTCAATCAGCATGAATGGGGTGCAGAACTTCTGTGCCCAGAGTTTCTGAGGTCTCAGCAGACAGACAAGGATGGTACATAACATACCTGCATCAGATCTTGTTTTTCTTTCTCTCCTGAGCTAATTGCTTTTCTGATAGATTTCAGCTCTGTTAGGATGGCTTTGGCTTCACTAAGTTCATACCCACTCTGGCCTCCAGACATCTTTTTATCAATTCTGTTGAAAGGAGGGAAAAAGTGAAAAAGAATGACAGTGGAGTAAGTGCACTGGAGCTCGCTCTGCAGGGTGTCTTAGATGGCAGATGATTCTACTTCACTACTCTGATCATTACTCTGATAGAATGATGCCATCTTTTCAGACTGGCTGTTTCTCCTCCTTCCTCTTTTAGTTGCCATGGGATAAGATTTCTCTCAACCCCTGCCTCATATCTTGACCCTTTCCAGTCACTTTCAGGCCCAAACACATTTTGGCTAATGCTGCTGCTGGCTGAACCCAGTTTTGACCACACTCAGCACATGTTGGCTAATTTCCACCTGAGAAACGAAGAGGAGGGGGCCTGCTGCAGCACAAGCGCCAGCAAGCAGCCATCTAAGTTTACAGCCATCATGTCTGAACGCCACCCAGTGCAGTGCTGGCAGCTTGGTGAGCCTTTGTTAAATGTTTGATAAATAATTATTTATACTAGTGAGTCTCATGATATTTGGATTATGTGGTTTCTTATTTCTTTAAAATATATAAAAGTTATTTATCTTGTCTTGCTGAAGGAATCCAAATTTAGGAATAAGACAGGTGAGCAGATGTTCTCATTTGTCAGCACGTATTGAATAATAGCTCCTCAATGAGTTAATTTACTTGTTATCCCAGCAGATGTGCTTATCGAATGTCCTTAAGTTTAACATTATCTCTGTGGGCTAGATGGTTTTTCTGTGACCCAATTCATTGGCTGTAAAACTCAACCATTTTTTTCCCCTATTTCTTTTTATAGAAATTGTTGAGCCTTCTGTTCATGATCACCCTGTTTCTCCCCAGCCATGGTACCGCCTGGGCTTGCTTATGGATGGAACTGGGTTTTACTTGTTATGCCTTTGTGCCATCAGCCCTCAGCTCTATACAGATTCTCAGACACAGGTTAGGACTTATCACCAGACCCACCAGAGAAATGGCAGACACTAAATCAGAGAAAATGGACTCAGATCTACTTTGAGCCACATAATTAATATGTACTTTCACTGTGAAAGGTGTAATTTGAATAAAAATACAATGCCATCCTAATCACTTTGCCAAACAAAGTTAATTCAAACAAGTACAGTGTGTAGATAATATATTTCCCCAAGTACTATTTTAGTAAATATTTTATGCTACTGAACAAGCAATTAAGCCTTTAAAAGCCTAATAAAATAAACTAAACTTGATTATAAGGTCATTTGGTAATGAAGTACAGCCAATAAAGTCACAGGATTAAACTCCCTCCTCCCCCACACAGTGTTCAGGGTAGAAAGGGGTCCCTGGAGCTCCCAGTCACCCTTTCCAAACAAAGAGCTGAGGCCAGCAAACTTAGACAGATTTAACTCTTAAATTGCATAAAGGCCAGTAGGCTGCCTATTCTAGATGTCAGACTCTGGCTTAGGGCTCCTATGATTGATTACACGAATCTAGAATACCTGATGTAAACAGGAACATATTGTTAATACTGCTTAATTCCACTTTATGAATGCAATTTTCAGCTCCTCTAAGTAGTATATCCACCAACCTAATATAGGCAAAGGTTTACGAACTAAAAGAAATGCTACTTCCAAATATTATGTTTTGACATTTTCAAGTATACCACTTTATACATTAAGAACAAGGAAACAAAAGCCAGAAACAAATTATGGGGTTTCATGAAAACTCTAGCAGCAAAGGTTATCTGAAACTGTCAAAGTGAATTTCCAAAGTTAAAGTAATATTTTTCAACCTATGTAAAGCTCTCAGAATGCAATGATAAAACATCCTTAACTCACAGGCTGGAAAGATGGCTCAGTGGTTAAGAGCACTGGTTGCTCTTGCAGAAGACCTGGGTTCGAATCCCAGCACCCACACGGCAGCTAATAACCAGCCACAATTTTAGTTCCAGTGGACCCAACACCCTCTTCTGACCTCCTTGTGCATTGCATGACACAGGTGCACTTACATACATGCAGGCAATATACTCATACACATAAAATAAAAATAAAGTTCCTTAGTTCAGAAGCATGCTTTGTCATTTGAAAATAAAAGCAGAACTAGGTCAGACTATTAATTTAAATTTCCAAGAGCTTTAAATTTTGACAAAATTTCTCGGCCATCTCATGCCACCACTGCCCAGCTCCCAGGGAGCCTTCACCTTCCCTTCCCTTCCTCCTGCCTCCCTCGAACCGCCCTACATCGGATGTTGCTTTTTCCTTTTTAGTTACATGCTTTTCCTTTATTCTCGTCACATTTTTCTCCCTCTTTTTGCCCAAGTATAAAATAAAATAAAGCAAAATAAAACAAAATATGAACACTGTTGCCGTTCTTATTTTTTGGTGACACTGGTTATAGAGCTACAAGCTCAGATACCTTTTGTTGGCTTTCAGAATGAAGTGCTGTGCTTTTATTCTTTATTTGAAAAGAATCCTTTTTCTCCCTAATTTTTTTTCACTCTATAAGAGAGTTTTACTTGAATGCATTCTCTGGAAAATATGTGCTCCCAGAACCAAATATTCACGGGGTCCACATCTGCTTTTGGTTCACTAAAGCTGTTATCATTTCCCATTTGGGGAGGCAGCATATGCGTGCACTTGGTATCCACCTGTACACAGCTCCAGTTCTGGTTAGGCTACAGTCAGGTCTGAGGCACAAACTGAAATGAATGACCTAGAGAACAAGATATTTGTTCAGCCAGCATAAAACTACTGTACCAAGTAAAATGAAAGCTCAAGGTTAAATTACATTATAACTCCAGAGTTAATACAATCTTCCATCCTGTGAAGGACTAAAAAGTTAAAAAAGTCTGGAATGGGATTAAATAGTTAAATCTTTTCCTGGAATGTAGCCAGGAATAAAAGCCTTTCATAGAATCAGCAGTGTGGTTTTTAAAGTCTGGTCTCTGTATTCCACCAGTTATCATTTAGTATTTTAGTAGTACGGTGCAATGTTTGAAGGAAAGCAGCTTTATTTTGTCTATACCAGAGATTATCAGGGGAGGTCTCTGATGCTAGATATCATACATTCTGTTCGTGGTTCATTCCAAGAGAATGCCTGAATTTCTACACAAATGTCTATTGTTTTGTTGTGGAATGTTATTGACAGATTCTTAAACATGCCTTAGATTCCCATAAAAATTGGTTGCAAGTAAATCATTTGAAACAGTAGAGCATTGTTACATCAACAGAATGAAAACAGCAAGTTTAGCTAACCTTTAATCTTGGGTGGTGATATGAGTTTTAATTTCATGTGTCTTAGGATGTCTAACGTACAACTGAATATTTCAAGGCACTCTTCACAGTTGGTTTTCTCTTCTTGCACCTACCACAAAGCCCTGCTGTATGTTGATATACAATTACTAAATAACATATCTAGGCCATTCTAGGTCTGTAGCTGTGAGACCCACCTAAGAGTCCATAAAACATGCCTGGCTTGAGCCTTGAAGCAGGCACTTTTTGAAGAGCTCCTCAGTTATTCTAATAGGTTTGAGAAGCACTAGGATGGAAGTATCTGGAAGAATAGCAGTGCCCTGCTTCTATGAGGCACGAAGGCTGAATCATGACAACAAATGTCTGAGAGTATAGTCATGCACCTGACTGCTGGTCAAGAGCACTAAGTGGGCATCCTAAGACACCCAGAACAATCAGTGTGTGTGTGGCTGGTGACATACACAGTGTTAATGGGGTGATGTCTCACTGCAGTGCACGGTCCTAGATTTCCTAAGAGCAGAAGGCAGAATAGGATTTCACAGGCAATAGGAACAGAACTGGGCACTTTCCATAGAGAGATGGCTCCTAAGAGCAGACTGGCATTCTTAATACCCTGTTGAGGGAGACTTCAGGAAGAACCCAGAACCTGTATGAAACCCATCAGGGAAATCCCTAGAAATACTGCCCCACAACTGACGGCACCTACCCCTGTACCATACAGGAGGGACATAAAACACAGCTGACGGCCTTTAGAGGACAGTGCCTTTGATGCTCCATGTGGTCACATGGCTATGAACACAGGCTTCTTTCAATATTTATAGGGACAGAGAATTGTGTGAGATGATGTCTTAGGAGTGCTTGGCACAATTTGGTTAAGGTGGGTCCCATTAGTAGAGAAAGCAGGGGTGACACAGGGCACTTCAGAACTTGCTACCTTTTCTTATCTACATTTTCTCTTAATCTGGCCCAGTTTAAGTACCCCAGTGGCCCTCAGAACTGAAATGCAAAGGACAGAAGGAATGCAGGAAATGGGAATGGCAGGCTTCTCTGCAGAGTCCTAACTTGCTCTTGTTCCCTTGGGATGGGTCAGGCCGGGCTCCAGGTGGTTTCTGGGACTGACAGAGAGGCTGACAGAAGCTGGGTGAGGACTCAGAGTAGCTGTAGGCTCAGAGTCCCTCCAGGCCAGCCCACCTGATCCAGGCACCAAGGCAGAAGTATACCACAGTCTGAGAAGCTGGCAGCAGTCCAGGACACAAAGTTAAAATTTTCACTTTGGTTTCTTTAGTTCTTCTTCAATGATTAAGAAAAAGCTCAAACCTTTTCAAAGTATATAGATTTTTCCCAAGTGTTTTCTTAGATAATTGATTTTGGAATTTGGTACAGAGCTTTAAGATTTTCACTGTATATGCTTCTTTGAGTACCCTCTTATGTAACTGGCACATCTTTTTTTTTTTTTTTATTAGTTAGAGAGCTTTGAATTACTGTAAAGTCAATTTCAGTATTTTTATACTCACTGTTGCAACGTTTCAAAGCCTTGTTCTTTATAGAGAAGTTCCTGCTTCATCTGTGAGAGTTCTCGCTTTAGCTTTTTAACCTTTTGTGAGAAATTAATGTATTAATGCTTATAAATCAATAAACATATAAATATAATGAACATAAATAATAACACAGCACACTATTTTAGTATATAACAAATTAGGAAGCAAGTAGACACACATAGCCAATATTTTAAGTAGTACACACTTCCCTAGCTTCTCCGTCACATACATTCTATGGGAAGTTTATGAGTTATGTTTAAATTATCAGTTACTACTACTGATGGCCACTTTCTTACTTAGCAACTTTGTAATGAGCTGGACATGAACCTGGTCTTAGTTTTGTGGTAAACGGAGGCAGAGTCAGATTTTGCAGCCATGGGATCTCTAGCCCCAAAAGCTTGAGCTCTTTCCTTCATTCATGGGGCTCCAGAGCTGCTGGCCAGTCTCTGGTTTCTCAGTCACGCCCAGTGACACTGGCCTCAGTGGCCCTGCCTGCATGTGCTGTCCCACTGCTTGAAGCTCTGCCTAGGCCTCTGATGGTTGACTCCTCCCATGTGCCTCTGCCAGTTGGTTCAATGCCACCTTTTCATTAGGACTTCTCAAATCACCCTCCACACGCCTCTACTCTCTTTTATTTACTTCAAATATTTTTCAAGACCTGCAATTTTCTGTGCATAGGTTTAACAACTGTCTGCCCTGGGGAAAGTAAGCTGCATCACATCATGGACATCCCAAACAAACAAACAAACAAACAAACAAACAAACAAACAACAGGTGTTTAATAAACACTTGTTAGCAGGCTGATAGAAATATTTTTCCTGGTTCCTAAGATTCTTTGCTAATAACAATAAGAAAATTTGGCAAAGTAGCAAATAGTACATGCCTGGTTTAGTCACAATGTAATGAAGGTCTTCATGTGAGCAAGAGAAACTTATTATTTCCATATATTGTTATAGCTTTAAGCGTTAAACTCTGTTGAACAGTATTTTACTGTACTTTTGAAGTTTTATTCTCTATTTTACTCGTTTCATAAGTATTTATTGACTCTCCACTATGGCCAGGTCTGGCCTCAGTGTGAACAGCAGGCCTGATCTCTTGATCGTCTTGCCCTCAAAGATCTTGTAGAACCATGGAAGAGCCAGATACTGCACAAACACAATCACCCAGTGAAGTGAAACTTGATCAATCCCAGAGGTTCTGTGAAGGAAACGCCCAGGCTATGCTGAGCTACATAGGGGTGTGGGATATAAGTTAGTGTGAGGGATTGGATAGAGGCCATTTGAGGAAATGACTGATGCTGGGGGGTGGGGGGTTAGTGAACACTTACTTGGTAAGGTGGGTCTCAAAGAATAGGGCAAATGCCAAAATCCTAAAGGAGGGAAGGACTCTAAGAATGCTTCTGCTGGACTTTAAAGAACACTCCTGTTGCTACAGAGGGAGGAATAGCTTGAGTTGCAGAAGTAGGCCTGATACACAGAGTGTTGAAACCATGCTGAAGATTTCTACCTTATGCTAACAGCAATGAGAATCAAGGAGGATTTTAGAGCATGATCTACTTTGTGATGAAAGAATTGCTGTGGTGACTCTGGTGACTGGACTGTTGGGCCTGTAGGAGCTGTGATATCTGCTCTGTGGGCTGGAGTATGAGTAGGTGCTATAGAGAGAGCCCAAACTGAGCACAGGGGAGACAGAAATCACAGGACATGGTGACAGACTCAGTGTGTTGGGTGAGGGAGAAAAGATGTCAGTCATCCCTTTCAGGCACCTGACTTGGCAGCAGGGTGGATGAACTGTTTTCCCAGAGAGTGGGACCAAATTTGGGGAGACTTCATAGGCAAATGGGACACATGGGCTTGATGTTCAGAAAAGTATCTGGACTGGAGACAGAAAACTAAGTAAGACTCAGTGACACGTAGACGATGCTCAGAAGCCTGAGAACAAATGAGATCGCCTAGACAGAATGTGTACTGGAAGAGAAGGGAGTTCAGGAACAGACTCAATATACCTCCCCTACTCAGAAGATAAAAAAGAAACTGAGAAAGAGTGGCAGGCACCCCGTTGTAAGAGGAGAAAAGAGCATGGTGACTGTGAGAGACAGTCACAGGTGAATCATGTCTGTGTATCTTAAAGCACAGAACTTTGGACAAAGTAGATATTCCATATTTTATCTGTTGAGTTTAATCTGAATGTTTAACTTTGTCCCCACTTACATTTTATTAGGGAAAATAAATACAAATAATTATGTTTCAGGTCTTAGTTTATAACTACAAAGAAAAAAAAACAAAAACAAAACAATGCTATTAGAATCCAAAGTGGAAGAGATGACTTGGGGATGAGGGCTACCAGATGGGGATGGAGATGGCTGAGCTGGTATTTGAAGAAAGAGGCCAGAGTGGAGGGAAGAGTGGAGAGCACTCACAGTGTATCATAAAGGCGTTGCAGTTTTACCACTAGACATCTCCATGCCAAATTGGCCACAAGTAATCAATAGCTCATTGCATGCGTACTTGTGTATCTGACAGCATTATCCAGTACTCTTCGTTAAAAAGATAATAACCTTTCTATTTAAGACCAAAAAAGTTTATTAAAAAATCAATACCAACTTAAACAGATGGGTTGAAACAGGTCTTTATCTTTGAAATGAGAGTTGATAAAAAACAAAGTGGTATGGTATTGAGACCATGCTGAACTACTATTAAAAACAATTAGTATCACTCACTGAAAAAAAGTAGCATTGTATTTAAAATCATTTGGTGTCTAATGGCAGACCAATTAAATGTGTTTTTAAGTGTTTAAAATATCCATATCTCAGAGATATTAGCACCTCTCACATTGACCTCAGTAATAGAACTGAAAACACTAAATACCCATTAACAAATGAATAATGGAAACTCAGTGTGTATCCATAAAAGAATATTATCCAGTCACGAAAAAGGAGAAATTTCTGCAATATGTGACAATGTAGATGAACCACAAGGGTGTTATATTAAGTAAAATAAGCCAATCACAGAAGGGCACACACTGCATGATTCCACTTGCACGAAGTACTCAAAAAAATCAAACTCACAAAAAAAGAATCGCAGTTGTAAGGGACTAAAAATGGGGAGTTGCTGTTCAGTGGGTACTAATGTTTCACGTATACAAGACAGTAAGTTCTAGGGACACTGTGCAACATTACACCTACAGTTAACAGCATGATGCTATACACTGAAAAGTGTTAGATGTCAAATGTTCTCACCACACACAAAATGGAAGTTTCAGTCAAATTTTAATTCTGGATTTTATTACACATTGAACAAGGATGGCAAGAAAACTAACCCGAGCTTGCTTTCTTTCTTTCCTTTCTTCTTTCTTTCCTTTCTTTCTTTCTTTCTTTCTTTTTCTTTCTTTCTTTCT